ACTGCTGCAGGCTTTTGAGAACGGCCTCCAGCCAATCGCGTACGAGTCCCGCAAGCTTCACCCGCCCGAACGCAACTACCCGATACACGACCGCGAGATGCGGGCGATCGTGCATGCGTTCAAAGTGTGGCGATGCTATCTGACCGGCGCCGACGTGACAGTACAGACAGACCACCGATCACTATAGTACCTTCGCGCCCAACCGAACCTGAATCCGCGACAGATCCGCTGGTTGGACTATTTGGAGTCCAATTTCCACTATACCGTCACGTACAAAAAAGGCGCATCCAACATCGCCGACGCACTCACTCGCCCTACCGCCCAACTCAATGCCATCCTACTAGCCCAAACCAACCCACTATTAACAGGTCTATTCACCCACGAGTACCGCACTGACCCATTTTTCACGATTGGAAATTCACAGCAACTGGCAGAAGCAAAGGGAGTCTATTACGTAAAAACGGGAACCAACCGCATCTGGGTACCCGCGTACTCACTACTGAGGGAGCTGCTACTGCAGGAGGCACACGACGGGGTTACCTCGGGTAATTTCGGGGTAGAAAAAACGCGACAGCAGCTGCAGCGGTACTACTACAGCCGGAGCTGTTGACCGGCGTACAGCAGTATGTGGGCTCATGCCCCACGTGTCAGGTGATGAAGAGCTCGCGAAAAAGAAAGTCGGGTCAATTGTAGCCGATTCCACCGCCCGAGCGCGCCTAGCAGCAGGTTATCATGGATTTTGTCACAAGGTTACCTTCGAGTCCTGGGGAAAACGACGCGGTTATGGTCGTCGTTGACAGGTTGACGAAGATGGCACACTTCGCTACATGCAATAAGTCGATCTCAGCCGAGGAAACCGCTCGCCTGTTCATCGCAGCCGTTGTTCGCCTGCACGGGATACCAGCAGCAATTATCAGCAACAGAGACACGAAGTTCACCAGAAATTTCTGGAGTAACCTCTGGGAGCAGTTCAGGACCCGGCTACAGTTCAGCTCGTCGTACCACCCCGAGACCGACGGTCAAACGGAGCGGACGAATCAGACGATGGAACAATTGATTCGTGCCATGTGCGACGATCCGACAACTTGGGAGCAGCAGCTGCCGCTGATTGAGTTCGCGTACAACAACGCCATGTCACCAACGACGCAGCAGTCCCCGTTTTATCTGAACGACGGGCAAAATCCAACAGTGCCTGTGACGCCGAGTCCGGACAACCCCACGCCACGTGCACAGCAATTCGCCGAGATTCTGCAAGCTGCCCGAACCAGAGCCGCGGAAGCAATTAAAAAAGCCAACGCCATTGCTAAGGGCAACGCCGACCGCCATCGCAGCCTAGTCACGTACCAATCCGGATATTACGTTCTACTCGACACACAGAATTTACGAGTGCCCGACGTACCCAAACTTCGACCCCGCTACTGTGGACCGTTCCAAATCAGCCACATGATCACACCGGTTACCGCCCATCTCCTGTTGCCGACCGACTGGTACATCAGCCCATCATTCTACGTCCGCCTGCTTCGCCCTTACATCCCAACCATAAGCCAACTGCCTCGTCACTGCCCGCCATCCATGACTCGCCCTGCATCGGAGCCGATCATCGAGCCCGAGAAGATTCTGAGCCATCGGATTCGTCACCCCACCGGCATTCGGAGAATCGAATTTCTCATCCGCTGGAAGGACCGCACGCCAACTGAGGATAGCTGGGTGCCCCTGGCCAACATCGAAAACCACCCTGCCCTGCAAGTGTACCTGAGGAGCCGGGGTTTCTGCGATATATACGCACTTGCGTAGGGGAGGGGGCTTTTTGAGGGAGGGAGAGAGGGGGGGAGAGACGGGGGGGGGAGAGGGGGGGGTAGTGTAAGGAATTTTCTCGACATTCCTTACCGCGACCTGCAACATCGCGTACAGCAGCAGCCGTTGTTCGCCCGTTACTGCTAACGGGGCTTCGCCAACTTCGCGCGCACTGTTTCACCAAACCTTGCACCGCTGGCCCAGTCGAGTCGGCCTACGCTTCGGTACTAGCACGAACCTCACTGCAAGCGTAGCACTAGCTATTTCGCACGCACCGCGTTACCGTTTGCATGTTTCGCGTATAAATGTTCGCTCATGCCTTCGCTCACATTTTTGTTCTCGTTTTGACACCTTAGTGCAATCCTCGCTACCTCGATTCATTGCACCCGTAACACTAGTGAAGACGACACTTGGGTGCCGTCCGCTTCGCTTGAAGCTTCCACACTTTTTTTTTTTTTTTTTTTTTCAAATCGAGGTACTATCTGTTACAATGTAGCATAATTCCATAAGGAAAAGGAGTGGAAACGGGAAGAGAGGAGAAAAGGAGGAATAACGTGAGTAGAAAAAAGGAGAGAGGAAGAAAGAAGGAGGGGAATAGGGGAAAAATGATAGGAGGAAGAAAAACAGGGAAGAAGGAAGAAAAAGCAGCACACACAACCCCAAGAAAACCCCAATAGCACACACATTTAAAACACCATCAAGCCCTCCCATCAAAGCACCCCAACTGCACTCCCATCGATCCAAACCTTCTCCCCTAAACCCACTCCCTAAACCCGCATGTCTACCAAGTATGGTGCATCCGCCCACGGAGCATCCCATCCCATCTCCTCCTCAACATCCTCCCGCTCCACCCAAACAGCCTCTGGGCCTCTCATCATCGACGCAGCGCGTAACAAGATCACACGCGCCTGAGCCCGTTGCAAAGCCACACCCACAGCCGCTTTGAGCGATCCGAGCAAATAAGCCGAGAAACCCTTTCCCGTAGCTCGCGCCGCCCCTTTCGTCTTTGCTATCTCGATCTGCGCGTCACCCTGCTTCTTAAGCCACCGTCCAAAACTCCCCCCCAAGCATCCCCATGTCTCAGCAATGAGTGGTGTGAACTGCACTCCCCCATGCCGCTGTAGAAGCGATTTGTAGTCCGCCGTCTTCCGCTTTTCTCTCTCTCTCGCGGCAAAACCCACCTTGCGACCAATCTGTCCATGGTGCTGCGCGGATAGCGAGATAGGATCTACCACACTAACCTCCAGCGCGTGCTCCTCCCCCTCCCTCAGTTTCCGAACCGCCACATCAACCCTCTTCCCTGGGAGCAACGTGTCGTCTTCCATGGTCACAATCCCACCCGCACCCTTAGCTATCTTCGCCACCACAAATTTAACCGCATCGTGAACCCGAGAAGGTGCATACTGATACTTGCAGCGAAGGGCATGATGCGGGTCAGAGGGATCAGCAAACTCAAACCCACACGCGCACTTGCCGGCCACTATCAGCTGCTGAATAGGGAGGCCTAGGCGCATGGACGCGCAGATGCTCCACTCGGCTGCGGTGAAGGTAGCCTCCTCGTGCGAAGGAACGGCAGAAACCCACGCCCCAGCCCCCGGGCCCTGAAGGGATGTCAAACGGGCCAGGGTGGCATCGTTGTGGGCCATGCCTCGAAGAGATTGGAGGCTCTCAACCGCCAGGCGACGGTGTTGTGTGGGGAAGAGCAGCATAGGCGGATCAGCGGTGCACAAGGCAAGGGGTGGCATCTCCTGCCGAACCGACTGTGGAAGCAGATCCACTGCTCTCGCAAACCAGGGGTCCAACAAGGTCGTAGCCTCGGGCGTGCGGAAAAACTCCTCAAACATCCGCTCCTCACCTGCCACCCCCAACCGAGCCACATCGCTCACTGCTTGGCACCAGCCACATGCATACGACAGAGGACTAAGGTCAGCCGCAGATCGAATGCCGAACCCCCCGAGTCTGGCAGGAAGGTGCAGCTGTAAACGAGCCATCTGGGACTTCCCCGAATCGTGATCCCAGGTACTATCTGGAAACAGCTCCTCGAAACAATCTTCCAGCTTCGTGTCCCAGTCCCGAAAAGCCTCCACAACCTCAGGTCGTGGAGGCATCGTCCGTGTGAGGTAGATCGGGCGCGCCGACACTGCGATCGCCAACAAATGGGACGCAATCTGTGGGTGGTCAAGCAGAGGAAGCCAGGGGACAGGTGCATGCAGCTCCGTCAGCCGGCGACGCAGGCTAGCCACCTCCCAGTCCTCCTCCCCAATGGGCACCCCTACCACAGTGAGCCCCGTCCATGTCTGCTGCATGCCGGGCGGGACAGTCTCATTTCTCTCCTCCCCATCCTGGTCCCTCCCTCGCTCCCATAGCTTACACTTATGCGGCTGCACCTCCAAACCCAGCCCGTCCAGTCGTTCCCGCAAGGCCTCATAGGCTGCTAGAACCCGTTCCCTAGGCCCCAGGATATACGTATCGTCAGCATAGCTGAGGAAGAGTAAGTCGGCGTACCACAGTCCACACTTCTTGGTGATTACCTCGCTTGCAAGCGATTCTGAGGCTACCTTTGCCAAACTTGCACCCACCTCGTTTTCCCGAGGTTTCCTCTAAGCTAGGGTAGCCACTAGGTATAACGTGTTTTCCCATCGTTTTACAACTCAAAACATATGTAGTCAAGATGGCTAACTTTCAATGGGGCGAAAAGGAGTTCGAACGTATCGTGTGTAACGGACTCGCGCACGTCGTCAATCGCGAAGTGTGAACCGCTATTGTGAACATCGCTCATCCACCAAGGGCGTCAGAACGCGTTCTTTCATTTGTGGACGAAGAGGCACCCCCCACTTTGCCACCCCTATGTTCTACGTCAGCACCCCCACCTGCTAGTAGTAGTAGTGGGTGTTTAGGGATGGCTCCCGACGGGTATGCCAACCAACTAAAGTATCCGCTTTTGCCCGCACGCAGCGCTAGACGACGTTCGTTTGCTGTACGCCTAACGGCAAGGTCAACGCCTTCGCTGTTAACACGGGTGGCATCGTAGTTTCATCGACAGGTACTTCGCTGTTCTACGTTGGCGCCTTAGTATGGGTCCTCGAATGGCACCCCTAGTACGCCAAAGTACTAGTCGACCACCTGCGCCGACCACTTACTGGTTTCAAACCCCAACTCGATTACCGCGAACCCCACCCTCAAACCCATCCGCAACGCAGCATCAAATGACTTCTGAAGGCGCTGCACGACCGCGAGTCCTGAAGCAGTGAGTGCCCCCTTCTCATATATCAGTTCTCTTCAGTTAGTATCACCACATCACCCAAGACTGAGTTTTTTCATCATAACCCCCCGCTGAAGGTAGGTTTCTTGTTCTTCGGCACACCCTCCCGCTCCCACACTGCAGTGTTATCAATACGCGATCGCGAGAATGGCTTCTCCTCCGACGGCCGTCGTGCTGGCGCTGCTGCTGCACGCGGCGTGCCTCTCATCGCCGCATCGTCTCGTCGCGGGGCACGTTTGGCCTCTCAGTGAAGCAACCACCCGCCGCGAGATGGCCAAGGCGTCTGGTGAGTGTTCAAACGAACCAGCCGTCCGAGGGACTGCAGCCGTCAGTGCCACCGTCACTGCAGCCGTCACTTGTTCCATCCCCATCCCCATCCGCATCCCGGACCGTTGTTTGACTTGTTCCGTCCCAAAACGTTTTGGGAGTTTAGTCATCTTCCCCTCCTCCCCCCCCCCCCCCCCCGCCCCCAACCTCCCTCTCCCTGCCCCCTCCCTCTCCCCGCCTCTCCTCTCCCCCTCCCTCTCCCTGCCGCCAGCCACATGCCCCAGTGACGTTGTCTGCCCGACGGGAGCCTTCTGCGTGGTGGACAGCGGCGGCTTCCCCTTTTGCAAGTGCCTCCCCGGGCAGGCCATAGTCAACGGCGCGTGCTTGGATGCCATGAGCTGGAAGTCGGTGGGCACGAGCGTGGTGCTCTACAACGCCCCCTCCTTCGCCAACTCGCCCGCCACGCTCGCACCGGCCGTGCTGCGCGCCCCGGCACCCAACTCGTCGGCGTGCAGGGTGGTGCCGAAGGGGTTCAACGGCACGGTGGGGTCGCTGCGCATCATGTGGAACGTGAATGACGGCGCGAGTGACCACCTGGTGTGTGGCAAGCTCGTGTTCTGGGACAAGAATGACTGCTCTGGTTCTTCATTTGTGTACGAGATTCCTGGCAAGTGGACAGCCGCCAAGGCCGACAACTTCAAATACGCCACCACCAGCGTCAAGTGAGTGCCGCAGCAAGCAACTCTCTCCCGCAGTGTTTAGGGCGATCTCTGCTTTTCCTGCAACGACTGGCTGTGCTTGTGTTTGTTTGGCTGCACTAAACTATCATGACCCACTCTGCGTGTGTTGCCTGGTGGCACGGAGAGCAGGAAGGCAGCGGGCGTGGTGGCGACAGGCAGGTCGTTCTCATGCCTGGCGGCCGTGAAGCCGCCCGTCACGGACCTCTGTGCCACGGCGGCATGCCCGCCCAACTCCAAGTGCGTCCTCACGAACAGCTCCTTCGCGCAGTGCACATGCGATCCTGGACTGACCTTGGTTCCCGAGGGCTACTGCGTCGGTGAGTCGTCGCCATGCCGTGGAGTGGAGTTGGGTGGACCATGGGATGGGAGGTGGTTCATGCTTAGCCCCTGCTGCACGCGTGAATTGATTCATACACTTTCAATCGTCGATGCTTGCACACGTGAAGGCAGATTACTCATGTGCGTCATGACTCATGGCTTGCCAGTTGACCAATGTGAGTCATGACGTAGCAGTTAACCCATGTATGTTGTGGCAGTTGACTCACGCCTACATTTCCCGCCTTCCCCTCCGCTAAGTCATCCTGCTGGCATGCACGAGATGCCCTTTGCTCTCATTGGTCTGTTTTCGCACAAAATGGCTTCATGAATGCACACTCCTGATAATGCCAGTCTGCTATTTTTTTCCGTTGATGCAGATTCGTGCTCCGTCAAGCAATGTGGCATCGGTGGCACTTGCGTTCTTCTATCGAACGGCGAGCCGTATTGTTCTTGCAAAGATGGCTACGAGCGGGAGTTTGTAACTGGCTCATGCATTGGTATGTGTGCTCATGCATTGGTATGTGTGCTCATGCATTGGTATGTATGCTCATGCATTGGTATGTATGCTCATGCACTGGTATGTATGCTCATGCATTGGTATGTATGCTCATGCATTGGTATGTATGCTCATGCATTGGTATGTATGCTCATGCATTGGTATGTATGCTCATGCATTGGTATGTATGCTCATGCATTGGTATGTGTGTTCATGGATTGCTATGTGTGCGTACATCATGTGTGTTGGAATGTTGTGCTCACTTTGGTATGTGTGCTGACATTGGTATGAGTGCGTAGATTGTTATGTCTGCTTACATTGCTGTGTGTGCTCTCCCTATCTCATTGTTCCCTTATTACCAACCGATATTACCTATCCTATCGGTGTTCGAAAGATTCCTGTCGTCCCTTCCGTTTTTTCCTCAACCCCCATGTTGCTTACAGGAGAGGGTCAATGCAAAGACTGCCTTCAGGGTACCTTTGGCAACAACTCTTTGCCGTACGCTTACTGCCCACCGGACTTCAACATGCGCTCTGGTGCTTGCCTGCCAGGTGGGTACTGTAGCCTGCCAGGTGGGTACTGTAGCCCGCCAGGTGGGTACTGTAACCTGCCAGGTGGGTACTGTAGCCTGCCAGGTGGGTACTGTAGCCTGCCAGGTGGGCTGTAGCCTGCCAAGTGGTTACTGTAGCTCTTCTTACAGGCTATGCATAGCGTGCAATCAACAGGGTAGTACTTACAATGCACTTGCTGCTTCACCTCCATTTCAGGGAAACATCTAGTGCCAGAATTTTCCTTGGTGTCGTATGCTTTCTCTGCCTGATCTCTTCTCCTTCCCACCGCTCCCCTGCGTACAATTATCAAATCCCCTTGCCTTGCCTTGCCTGGCAGGAGTCGTGCCTGACGTGGCAGACATCGCCATCAGCATCTACAGCGCCACCAGCTTCGGCACACAGAGTGGTCCGCCTTACGTCTTCCGCCTGAAGCCCAACAAGTGTGTCACCATCCCTGTGGCCGTGGTTGCCAGCAGCAAGTCGGTGGGCATTCTGTTCCGCGCGCCTGGCACGTACGTGAGGTGCAGCACCATGACCATCTACACCCAGCCCTTCTGCACTGGCATCTCACTCAGCTCCGCCGTACCCATCAACAACGACCTTGTTGCAACGCCCATTCCGTGAGTCTATCTCTCTCCCTCTCTCTCTCCCCCCCTCCTCCCTCTCCTCCCTCTCCTCCCTCTCCTCCCTCTCCTCCCTCTCCTCCCTCTCCTCCCTCTCTTCCCTCTCCTCCCTCTCTTCCCTCTCCTCCCTCTCCTCCCCCTCCTCCCTCTCCTCAATATCCTCCCTCTCTCCCTCTCTCCCTCTCTCCCTCTCTCCCTCTCTCCCTCTCTCCCTCCTGGCTGATCTTTTCCATTAGGTCTGACCTCAACCTCCCTGTCTTTAGCTCTGAACGCTCTTTGTTTTTGCCCTTATTCCGCATCGCGTATATGTACCCTTAAACAATTTCCTCCTTTTTTTAAATGTTTCTTTGATCAGGAATAATGGACTCTGGAAGCCCTTGTCAGTTCAGTGCCTTTTGTAGACTTGAGGAGCTGACAAGGAGCTTTAAGGTCTTATCTGGAGTTGAAGTACAAGGTTGCATGGCTTCCTCTCCCTGTTCCTCTTCTTCCCTTCTCTTTCTCCCCCCCCTCTCCTCTCTTACCCTCTTCTCTCTGTCCTTAGGGTACATTTCTACGAGGATAATGGTGTCACAATTAGATTGTGATGCGCAAATACCGTATTACAAATGTATTGTGTCTGGAACGCGAGTCGCCCTAGTGCGACTTTTACTGTACCGTATCTTATATTGGGCACCGCTAAACATGCTGAAATCAAGATGCCCTACCCCGTCACCAGCAAGGAAGGTCATGGTATTTAGAAGGTGGAAGTGAAATGAAAACGAATTCATTACTGCAGTCTGACCTTAGCAGGGATGTCACGAAGCCACCGCGTCAGTTGGGTTCAGCCAACACACGAATCGCCCCCGCACGAATCGGGTCGCCTCCCCACCTTTCCAATCCTCGCATACCTCTTCCCTATAATAAAGACACACTGATTAATCGAAACAGCTTACGAAGCCCCCCATAATCGGTCTTCCGCACACTCTGAGGGCGTGTCCCATGAGTTCATTTGGGAGGAAAATCATAAATTTTACGTAACTTCGACAAAGCAAGGGAGTGTAACGCTGACGAAAATAACACGCAGCGCGTCAGCACAGCGCCAAACGAAAATGACCCACGCGGGCTCATAGCTCCACCCACACGAAAATGGTAATCCGAACATGGCCCGCGAGCGGTTACCCTTAACCGTGCGAATCAATGGTGCCCTGCACGAATTTCTGTTATATTTTCGCGCAACTGAATGTGCGCGAATTTTCAGATTGGAGTAACGGAATGGAGGACCCGGTACGAAGTGATCTCACGTACCATATACGTGGGGTAGTACGAACCTCTTGACGTCCTAGGTGTGTCATCAAGTGCGTCATTCACGACGCATGTCATGCAGAGAAGGGTTACAGACTGAAAATAGGGTTACAATCCTCAACTAGAACTGTAAACGAACTCGTGAGACACGCCCTGATAGCATGTACAACTCAACACCACTGGTCCGGGGAAACGAGTAAACAATTTCTCAAATTTCAAAGTTTTTGAAACACCCCTTTGCAGTTATACTAAAGCCTTCAAAGAAAATCCCACCAAGTTTGTGGGTAAAAGGCTACTGTGCCGCGCTACCATATCATTCTTGCCACAATGAAAGAAACAACAGTGACTTCATTGTACATCGAACGGAGGGAACGGTCAGAGGGGAGGGCAGTGATAACCAGGGGAACAGGGAGAGAGAAAGGGAAAAAGGGAGAGGGAGGAAGAGCTGCAGAAAACTACTTGCTGCCAGAAAGCTTCAGATTCAAGTTTTAGACCATCCAAGACACTGTCTTTCGATGCAGCTGGATTTGACCTTCACTGCTTTCTTCAAAATCTCTCAATCAGAATACAACTCGTTGTTGGAAGGATTTTGCAAAGTCTTCCCTGCCAGAGCCTCCAAGTTACCATAGCTGGCACTTGAAAGACGGGATCCCCCAAGAAATAGGAGTTCTGTTGAGAGAAAAGCAAGTGTTGTTAGTACGTAAATATTTGACCATATGCATATGATGGGGACTGATGGCGAAAAGCCATAGCACTGGAGGGCGGCTGCACAGAGGCCTGCCTAAAAATAAATACCAACCGTTAGAGCGAGAGAGACGGAGCAAGAGAAATAGAGGGAGCGAAAAGGAGTGGGAGCGAGAAATAGAGGGAGCAAGAAATAGCAGGAGCGAGAAGTAGAGGGAGCGAGAAATAGAGGGAGCGAGAAATAGAGGGAGCGAGAAATAGAGGGAGTGAGAAATAGAGGGAGCGAGAAATAGAGGGCGCGAGAAATAGAGGCAGCGAGAAATAGATGGAGCGGGAAATAGAGGGAGCAAGAAATAGAGGGAGCGAGAAATAGAGGGAGCGAGAACTAGAGGGAGCAAGGGAGCGAGAAATGGAGGAGCGAAAAAAACAGAGGGAGCAAGGAAGACTCACGGAACTGCCAATTCGGCGATGTCATTCCCATCAGGCGCATATAGCTTCATTGCCTTACCATTCTGCCTGAATTAATCTGAACCCTCCTTCACTCCCCTCCGCCCAATCACCTTGCAGGCGTGGTCACCGATGTGGCAGACATCGCCATCAGCATCTACTTCTCTCCCAACTTCGGCACAACGAGCATCCATCTCGTAGCCTTGATTGCAAGCGCAATGCGCGTTGCCGTTGGATAGAATGACGCAAGTGCCACCCGTGCCACAGTCCTTGACAGAGCACGCGTCTGCATTGAAAGAATGGATTGGGCAGATTGAATAGCACGGTGTTTAAGGTCCGCTGGTTTCTAATGCCTTGCCCAGTCCAAGTGATTGCGTCACCGGCGTGCTTTGAGGGTGCTGTAAATACCAAGGTGAGGAAAAAACAGAGATGGGGGCCAGAGTTACGGGATAGAGAGTGATGGGATAGGGACTGATGGGAGAAGGAGCGAGTTGGGAAAGTGAGTGAATCAAACGTTACAGTGACCTGGCAAGGCCCACACAAGCAGGGGCGGGGGGGCGAAGGGGAGAGTGATGCGAAGGAAAGGGAGCTAAAAGGATGGGAGCGGAGGCGGGATCTTTTTAGCTCTCAATCGAAGGAAAGAAACAGCGGAGGAAAGAAGCAGTGCATGACTCGACTCCAATGGACCCCTCCACTCCACGACTCGTGCTCCATATCGGAGCAGACAATGACTCACCAACGCAGTAGCCCTCGGGGACCATGGTGAGTCCATAGTTGCACGTGCAGACCGCGGAGAAGTTGCTCGGCAGGGAGCACACGGAGTCGGGCGGGCAGGTCGTGGTGGAACACAGGTTGGGCACGCCGGGCGGCTTCACGGCCGTCAGGCACGAGAACGACCGGCCCGTGGCCACCACGCCGCCTGTCGTCCTGCACTCAAACAAACAGGCAACAGGCGGAGCCACTTTTGATTTGAGACGTCTCAAAAGGCACAGAGGGTGGAGACGGGCGGCATGACGGCCGTCAGACACGAGAAGGACCGGCCCGTGGCGACCACGCTGGCTGTCGTCCTGCACAGGGCGCATTCCGTGCACAGGCAGCACAGCAGGGTCACGGTCAATGCAGGCAAAGAGAGACATCACCCTGAACCCTGCGAGTCAGTTGTCGTTGGGGACTCACTTGAAGCTCGTGGTGTTGCTGGGGACTCACTTGACGCTGGTGGTGGCGTATTTGTAGTTGGTGGGCTTGGCGGCCATCCACTTGCCAGGAATCTCGAACACCACTCCGGAACCCGAGCAGTCGGGCCGGTCCCAGAACACCACCTTGCCGCACACCAGGTGATCCGCGGCCGCGCCGTCATTCACGTTCCACATGATGCGCAGCGACCCCACCGTGCCGTTGAACCCATTCGGGACAACAGTACAGGCTGATGAGTTGGGTGCCGGGGCGCGCAGCACGGCCGGTGCGAGCGTGGCGGGCGAGTTGGCGAAGGAGGCGGCGTTGTAGAGCACCACGCTCGTGGTGACGGACTTCCAGCTCAGGGTACTTGCGCGGCATACACCGTTGATGATGACCTGCCCGTCCAGGCACTTGCAAAAGGGAAAGCCGCTGCTGTCCACGACGCAGGAAGCTCCTGTCGGGCAGACAACGCCGTCCGGGCATGTGGCTGGAGGCGGGGAGAGGGGATGAGGAGAGGCACGGACCGGTGGATTAGTAGGGGCGTCGTGGGGAGATTAAACTCTTACAACGGTTTGGCATGGAATGGGCATGGGTGAGTCGAATAAGACTGACGACTGAAGTCCCTCACACCACTGAAGTCCCTCACACCACTGAAGTCCCTCACACCACTGAAATTAGTCCCTCACACCACTAAAATCAGTCCCTCACACCACTGAAGTCCCTCACACGACTGAAGTCCCTCACACGACTGAAGTCTCTCACACGACTGAAGTCCCTCACACCACTGAAGTCCCTCACACCACTGAAGTCCCTCACACGACTGAAGTCCCTCACACCACTGAAGTCCCTCACACCACTGAAGTCAGTCCCTCAGAAGACTGGTTCGAACGCTCACCAGGCGCCTTGACGGCCATCTCGCGGCGGATGCCCTCCGCATTGGAAGGCCACACGTGGCCCGCCACGAGACGATGCGGCGATGAGAGGCACGCCGCGTGCAGCAGCAGCACGAACACGGCGGCCGTCGGAGGATACGCCATTCTCGCGGATGTATTGGAAGCACTGTGGTAGCGGGACGTGGTAAGCACGATTGGAAACACTGTGGTGCAAGAGTAGCGATGCTAGGGACGCGGAGAAACAAAGAGTGGATCTGCAGGAGTGGGCTGTGATGAACCCAACTCACAGTCCCAAGGTGAAGTGATGGAACTGCAGAGAGGGGGGCACTCACTGCTTTCACGCAACCAACGGCCCTGTAGCGCCTCGAAGGGGAGTCCTCTTTGGGACGTGGGTGAGGGGGAGCGCCCAGGTCAGATCAACAGCAGCAGCGGAAGTCAACTCAAAGGGGTGTCCAGGCTAGAACAACAGCAGCAGGGGAATGCTGGGCGGGTTGCGAGCTGACGCGGATCATACGGGGTGCCAACGTCCCTTTCCCCGCAAACGACGAACGTGGCCTCCATGTAGCGCCGACGTTGACACTATGTTCTGAAGGGCGGTTCATACGGGTGCCAGCGCCGTTACTGTACCACCCGTTGACAATTGGCCAGGGGTTGCTGTACAAGAAGACCCGCGAGTGACCCGCGAGTTTCCCGCTAGGGGTTATTCCACGCAAGCGAGTTTCCCGCGGGGCAACAAGAACTAAAACAGCGGAAGCCAACCCAAAGGGGTGCCGACGTGGAATAAGATAAATGCTAAATACAAGGGATGCTGGATGTAGAACATACGGTGCCTAGTAAACCCTAAAGTACCCCTTTGCCGCCCTAGAACAGTGAGGTATGTTCCAGTGCAGTGAGGAACGCATACTACATCATCGTGTGCGGCGAAAAACGCTTGTTCTTCGCGATTGACACTTTCGCGCGTCTGTTACACACGTTACTTAGAAGAAAATTATTCGCCATCTCTTGAAGTTTCCATACATTTACAAGTTTATAATTACTCACATTGAATAATGACAATAGTCCTTGCTACGCAAAAACTTAACACAACTTTCAGGCCAATGACAATGACAAGGCCGCCATGGATTCCTCCGCATAACTTCGAGAGCTTGTTACGTGAAGGATACTTATCAGTTTGTAACTTTGAGCACAGTTCTGAACTCTTGAGTTCGTTACGATGCAGAAGATATATCTTTTATATCTACCATACGGAAAATTTATCCTCGGCTACTCGGGTCCTGCTCATTGATTACAACACTTATCAAGTTAAACAACTACCAAGGTTTCTCAATTACACCACAAGTTATCCGTAGGATTACATCGGACTAAGCTGGCACAATATCTACAATCACCAACTACCTAACCAAGATCCCAAGACTTTCACCTCAAGAACACATAACTTTGACCAGGAATGCAAGTCGATGGCTAGAGAAAAGGTTTTTAATGAGGAGGTGCTCAGTCCACAAGCAGCGGAAGCTTAATCAGAGTTACTTATCCTTGTCGCTGCTATCGGTGTGCCATCATCGCACCATGCCTCATAAGGTTCGCTCGACGAAGACTACCGCAAATGTCGCCCCTCCTGTTGACGGCTCACCTGATCAGAACAACACGCCGGTTCCTGTTGGAGAAGGATCTGGGGAGCAGACATCAGTGAACACATCCAACACTTTATCAGCAAACATCACTACAACGGCAAACGCTGCTGTTGCTTGCAGCTCTGGCCTGTCAAGCTCCAGCAGCTGTTGAGGAGGGGTTCCTGGAAGACGACTCCGATAAGGAACTCGATATCGACATTGCCACGGAAGAAGCTTTTTGTTTGCCTGTCACAGCGATCTTACTGATTCCGATGGTTCCATCTCAGGAGATTGCAACCATTACTTTAGCTGTCCAACACTTGGTGAAGAAGGTCTGGAGCTCCTCTTTGACAAGAAAGCAGGTGTTACCACAAACATCCAAGTGGTGCTGCCTGCTTACGTGGCCAGGACACGTTTCTGCCGGCTAAGGATTTCTTTCCTCGATGAACGCGACGCATAACACATCAAATTCCACTTGTTCGAGTATCAAAGGGCAAACGGGCCGTCGGTTAAATGCATTTGGTAGTACACAGAAGACCCCTCTTACCTGAGGAAGAAGGCGTCTAACCCACTTGTTGTTTAAGCGAGTACCTGCTAACATTGTATTGGATGTGCTGGTGAAGTTCAAGCTGAAAATGCGTAAGCAAACAACGTTCAAGGAAGGTTTCACCTTTCATAGCATGGCTCACCCACTTACCAGAGGCGACATTGATGTGATTAAGGGACTGGTGGTCCAGCACCCCGGTGACCGTTACCTGGTGTCTTATTGTTGATGACCCGATGGAGACCGGTGCAAAGCCGCTGGTCCACTTCACTACAATGTCCTGCCATCTCTTCGGTGGACAACATTATGACATCCATCATGATCTGTTCATTACAAAGAGGCATATAGGGAATTGGTCCTTGACCCTGGGAAAAGTCCATCGCATTAACGGTAACTGCATCGTACAGTTTGGGGAGGCTGACTCGCTCTTTCCTTTCTTTATAGTTACTGACGACTACCGTTGCTCTCGCAACTGCCTCCGTGAGCACCTCTGTTTTAATCACCCCCATTCTATAAGACTCTGCGATCACGTTGATCTTAACAGGCAGCAACCGAGAGGAATAGATCTGCACGCAAGTGTGCTGCGGGAAAGGTAAGGGAAAGATTTTTATGACAGCCTCGAACCATATTGCCTCACCTACTGAACTTAGAGAAGCTAGGCACAGCCACCAAATTCATCACAGTCCGAGCACAAGCTAGTCGCCACAAGGCTAGTTCACTTGCAGGGTTATAAAAACCACATGCAGTACATTGATCACAACCTAACAAAGGTAAGCAGGCAGAAATATATGCATATAGATCATAGTAAAATGCAAAGTCAAGCGATAAGCAAGTGAGGCAGAGTAGGCACAAGGCCCAGAGTAGTGTAGAAACACTGATGATCACCAGACCCAAACCCAGATATCAACAATAATGGCCTATGAGGCTACGTAAGCAAGACGAAGCTGACCACGCTACTGCAACTCTCGTGCAAGAAAGTATCGCAGAGCAATGTGCATTCGTTCTGTGATCCCCCAGAGTAGGCTCTCGACACAAGGCAATCATGGCCTTGTTGTCGACGTACAGGACCAAAGGAGGAGGCTGCTCACTCAAGTCAGAAAGCAAGTAGGTGTCAAACATATATGTATGTTATATTTGTGTAGGCTGTAGTGGGGTAGCCAACATGGGGTACAACCCCATTAGGGTTTCATATTTGTACCCAACCTTCTGCTAGTTCATTCATTCCTGCCTGTAGTTTCTGACAGTAGGTGAGCTAGCGCAACTCCTGTGTAGCCATATCCCCAGCGTAGATCTCAGCCTTGCGGCTAGAACTAAGCACGGAGAATGAGCGGGTGGACCTACACGAAACAGAGCTAGTGTCGAGACTGAATGTCTAACCCTATGACCACCGGTGGGTCTCCTGGTTTTCAGCCCAAGAAGCGTCTGAGTGCCCAGTGAGCACAACTGGACCCCGTCCTTCAAGCATAAATCCTATTCCTGATGTATTGCACACGTAACACAGTACCCTCTATGCATCCCAGTAATGTTCACAGCAATGCTTCCCAGGCGCAACGAAGTGCGCCAAGATGCTAAAAGGGTACGAGAGGTCAGGTCAAGTGTAGGCCATCACGTACATGGGGCAATACACAAGCTCTGGATATGGACCACTCGGCTCTACGGACTCGTCCGAATGTGGAGCTGAAAGCGGAAGCGCGCCAGGGCCTGCTGCACCATGTGTGATTGAGTCCGAGTGATGGTGTGCCTTGCTCTATCCCAAGTGATACGCAAGCCAAAATAGCTGCTCAGCTCACCCATATCAGTGCCAGTGTGTCTCTTGTGCAGCTTCGCCTTCACAAGGGCCAATGCCTCTGTGTCAGTAGTAGCAAAGACCAAGTCGTCGAGGTACAAGGGGATGTAGAACGGCGGCAGACAAGGGTCAGAGCGTAGAAACAGCGACGGGTCAGCAGTCGAAGGAGCAAACCCAAGAGCCGCAAGGGTGGTCCTCACTGTGTCGTGCCACTACCGGGGCGACTGGCGAAGACGGTAGAAATTTCCTCAGAGGCTCTACTGGGTACCCTCAGGAAACGACCCAGTGAAGCCAGGTGGGCGGTGCAACCAGATCTCCTCGTGATGGCTGATCTGTAGGAAGGCTGTGGAGAAGTCAAGCAAGTGGACCTCGTAGTCACGCTGTGCTGCAACGTGCAGTAACACCCAAAGAGTGGTCATATTCGGGGTGGGGAAGAAGGCATGGAAGAAGTCAACTCCCTGTTGCTGACTTAAACCTCGTGCAACGTAACGCGCCTTGAGACAGGTGGAGAACCCGACGGCAGCTTCACCCTGAAAATTGACATGCCAATGATTATGTTCGGCCCAGGAAGGGAGACTGCGTAGACGCAGGTGCCTGTGGACTTCTAGGATACCATCTTTGCATCCATCTGCCATTGAGAGGAGTACAGACACAAAATCACCAATGTGTAAGAGCGCGGGGTCGAGATGTTCAGTGCATCCGAGTCTCCCTCAGAGGCAAGTAGCATGGCAGTGAGATAAGGCACACTAGTTGCAAGGCACTCAATATTAAACCGCCTGTCCTCAATAATGTCATTGTCAAGAGAAAGCTTACCCCTGACAGACGGAGGACAGTTATACTCAGAAGCAAGACTCTCGAAGTAGTCAAAACGACAGGCAGAATCAAAGTCAACGAGCTCAGTGACTAAGGCAGACGCAGCAGCAGACTCAAAAGTAGGGTCAGTGACAAGCGTAGCACGAGTGATTGTGGGACTAGCAGCACGAGCAAGGTTAAACTCAGGGTCAGGAACGTCAGGTAGAGAGGACACTGGAGGAGACGGAAGTGGAACAGAGGAAGGACGAAGTGTTATAGGGTGTGTGCCGAGGACATGTGGATGACGAACACGACGAGCCTGGCGAACAGTGCGAACAGGGGAGGTAGGATGAGACACAGGCTCACGACGCTCTGTCAGAGAGTCTGTCTGCTCAGTGTAAGGAGAAGGAGT